GCCACTATGTGTGTGTACAGCTTGATCTAATCTATTTATTGGTACAATATAGACTTCTATATCTCAAATCATACTTCACAAGACGTCCAAAGACTGATGTTTCTTTAGACTTTTTGTTGATTACTGCAGAATTCGGATGAAAATGTGTTTGAAACTTGCTGTTTATGTCGCAAATAAATCATCTTGAACGGTCCGTTCCGAGCTCCAACCAGCATCATCAACGTGAGTTTATCATTTATCTTTCCGTTTAGAAACCAAATTTTTTTTACTTAATATTCTTATAAATATATCGACTTTTAGTTGACAACAGTCAAGAAACTCTAAGATATCATAGAATAATCTAAACATACTCATATTTGGCGAATATCAACATTAGATTATCTATATAGACACAAATAAAAATCTTATATTTTAGATACGTACCTGTAGCTCAAGTTAATCGGTTCACCGGTAAAAACAAATGAATGATTGTGCGTGTTCATACAATCAACTCGTCGAGTTCCATATATCTATTTGATATCAGTTTTCGATTTTGACATAATCTTCGATTGTCATATCTTTTACAGATACCTGAATGTTTTTGATTTCGAAATATAAAAGGTTGAAATTACATATTGAAATTTTATTAATATTTGAGTAATATTTAAATAAAATAATACTTTCTGTTGTTGATCATATTGACACGGAGAGTCTCAATGATAATCAATAAATCATTTTTATTGATTAGTTCATATTATATTTGCTGAAGAATTTTATGCTTCACTACATGCTATTTAATCAAAATTAGGCATTTCTTCATTAAACAATTGTCAATTGATCGATACAAATAATTCTCCAATTGAAATTATTATTGTATATTAAATTAAAAAAATATTTTTATTCTCTTTAAATAATAGTTTCTATTGAATTTCTATTTTGCAATGAATTACTTTATTTTTATTGATTCAAAAGTTCTTCGATAAACTATTCGAATTACTTCAGTACATATTTATTTACTCTAATACAAAATAATCAAATGACAATATAAAACTTGAAAAAAAACACAAGTTTAAACAAGTGGACAATAAGGAATCTTAATTTTTTCTGTTTATTTGCACCTTGTTTTGACACAACAGCATCTCTAAATGACAAGAATAAATACATAAAAAGATGTATATTTGAATTTACGAAAAAAGAAATTTACAAAACTATTATAAATAGATCGAGCAGAAAGATTCATCTAACAGATGAAATAAAGAAAATCAATGAAAATATCAATAATTTACTGAAGGTATGAGAAGCAAATTTACAAGAAATTTCAATAACTACTCATCTATCATCAGAAAACGTTTTGCCTAACTTCAGAAATCAGAAAACTTTAGAAGCATAAAACCATCAATATATTAAAAAGCACAATATGACATTCGTTTACGTACCTTGGAAGCAAAACTCTCAAAAATGGAATGTTAAGACAATTTATTTCTCTACTATATATTCTCTAAGAACCACCATGAAATATCTGTTCTATTCAAAGAACTCAATTGATATTAATCATAGTTGTAGGTTCACATTTATCCATCAATCTTTAACTATTAACTTATAACTAATGATGATGAAATTATACAATTGGAATACGATTCATTTGTATTCTATTCAAAATATCAAACAAGTCTTGATGAATTATCTAACAAACTGATCATTCAAGGGATATTCTATGATTATCGGATATATTTTAATCATAAGATTGGTAGCTGATTATTTCAACTATGGGTATTAGAAACAAACCGAATAAATATTCTATTGTAATCAATTGATTCGAGATTGTTTGTACACTCGAACATATGATTCACATGAACTAAAATAAAATGAAATGTAACAATGTTAAAATAGAAAACAGACTTAGATTTCAAAGAGATGGATTAGAAGGTTTTTATTTTTTTCTGTGTAATTGTGCAACATTCAGACTTACAAAAAAATCTTCAAAATCAAGTAATGACCAATCGAGTGTTTTTAACTTACGCTTCCGTGAGAATCAATTCCGAATCATCGCCCATCATATAATGTAATTCTCGTAATTTGTTACAATCATTTAACACAGCTAAAAGAAAATAAATTTGTTACCATACTCCTAAGATATTGTTCTTATCATCATATTTTCTAATTTGAAAATATGTCACAATCATTTTTTTGTATCATTTGGATAAATATCATTAATAATATCAATTAAGAACTGAAACAATTCATTATGATTAATAATTTCGAAAACAATGATATTAACAAACCTTTATATTGTGTTCAAAGTTTTTTCGTTCAATGGCTATCGTAGGATCAATTGAACAAGTTTTTGATTCATTCATTGTTGATAATCATACTTGAAATAGAATTATTAGAAACTAATCATACGAAAATAATTATTGAAATAGTAACTATGTATCATCTTGACTTTTAGATGTAAGAGACAATGATTGACAAACAAAAGTTTATATTCAATTCTGCTGAGCGTTATTTGTTTTGAAACAATTAACTTAGTATGATGAACAAGACTTCGATGATTTTCTAATACTACTGGCTGAATTAGGATGACTAATAATGCAAATAGTAGGTATAATATACTATTGAGTGAAACTCTCGTATTCTAATACGAAAGCACCTAACGGGTGCACATCAAATGCTTCTTGTAACCAGAAAGGAACAGCTCGAACAAGTTTTCTCATTTAAGTGGCTAATACGTTTTTACATGCGTAACCTATTCATAGTAGGTACGGTCGCAAAAGCTGAAAAGTCACTATTTCTATTAGTATACTTATTGAATTCAAGTTAACTTAAAAATTTCACTAAAATCGTAAAAAAAGCCTAAAAGAATCTTGTGGAAATGATTTCGACTTGTATATTTCTTTGGCTGCTCTCCTTTTCTCATTCTGAGTTATGATTGTTGGCTAGATGCAATTTGATTTTATCTTAGGAGTATACCTTTTTACGACGAGACGAACATTAAACTAAAACGCATTCAGGCATATCTGATGAGTAAATAAATCTGGCTAATTTTCAAAACGAATTTCTTTTATTCAACCATTTTGCAATTGTTTATAAATGATTTTCATCTATTGAAAAAGTTCAGTTTCAGTAGAAAAGCAATTTTCTATATGCTATTTTATCGTGTTCATTTGATAATGGGTCGATTGTTGAAAGTGAACACAATAACTTTATAATATAAAAGATCATATACATTTATGTGATACATTCATAAACAAGAATATAAGTATATAATGAGTGTCATAGAAATTGTATACATAAATCCAACATCTGCCACTTAGTGACATCTTAAACAGACTCGAGAGACATTCAACAGTTGGACAGTTTATTTTCATCAGCTGATTGACGTTTGTTCGAGCCTACGCAGTTAACTAGTGCGAGGACGCAATACAGTTGCTGATTAATTAAATGCGCTTTTAACTGTTTATTGCTGAATCAAACATTTTGAAAAAAACAAGATGTGGTTACATTATTTATTATTTGTTATGTTAATTGTTTCAATTGATGCATCAGAAAGAAAACTGTACGAACAAAAATTGTCATCAGTTGACGTTGAACTTATTTCATTTGCAAACACATCGCTAGTGAAATATTTCCGTCATGATGAACATGTTCGTCCAGTATATATTGTTCAAGTAAAAACTGCTGTAAATTGAATTATATTAATTATTCTTTATGTTAAAAAAAACGAATATTGTTTTAGGTTGATTTAGAACAAAGTCATCAAATATATACTGTTCATTTTCAAGTTGTTTCAACCGACAACAATGTTGTAAGTATGACATAATAAATGATTAATCAATTAAATTATTATCGATGAAATTTTAGATGTATGAATGTCCTGTATCGGTTTATGATGATCCTGTAGGGCATATTCGCGCTCTTGTTCGTTCAATTATTTGTATTTCACTTGAACAAGATCCTCAAAATCAAAAATTAATCGGTGGTGATATTCAGCGTAATGCTAAAAAAATTCCTTATCCATTTTTAGTACGCTTTCTTTCTTTCTTTCTTTCTTTCTTTCTATTAATTTCTTTCTTTTCAATCTAAGTATGGAACAAAAGTTCCTGTAGAACATATTACTGATGATGAATCCAATGATTACGATAAAGAATTATTCAACAGATTTCAAAGAATTCATCAAAAACTTTATCTTGATGATGAAGGTTTGTTTTTCTCAGTAGGTTTTTCTTTATTAAATTATTTTATTATTACAGAACAACAAAAACGATTTATAGTTTTCAAAAATAATCTTAATCGAATTGAAGTGTTAAATGAACAAGAAGAGGGCAGTGCTATTTATGGAATAACACACTTGAGTGATCTTAATGGTTGGTCATTTCGTTGTTTTTGAAAACTTTTTATTAACATTGTTTTCACAAGTTTAGAAGAAGAATTCACTCAGTACTATTTAAATGAACATCTTTCGTTTTCAAAACATATTTCACAATCTTCATTGTCTCAAAAAGATCCATTAGAAGTTTCACCAGATGCATTTGATTGGCGTGATCATGATGCTGTTACTGATGTCAAAAACCAAGTAAATATTCAATGAAAATGTTTCTCATAACATAAAAATACATTTATTTAGGGTCAATGTGGTTCTTGTTGGGCATTTAGTGTTACTGGAAACATTGAAGGTGTTTGGAAAGTTAAAAAAGGCGATTTAGTTTCTTTATCGGAACAAGGTTAATAAATATTCTATTTATTTAAGTTATTTAAATTAATTCAATTTGAATAGAATTAGTTGATTGTGATAAAGTTGATGAAGGATGCAATGGAGGATTTATGACTCTTGCTTATGAACAAATCATTAATATGAGCGGTCTTATGACAGAACAAGATTATAAATATGATGGAAAACAACACCCTCAATGTCAACTCGATAAAACAAAAATCAAAGTTAATATTGAAGGATATTTAAATATAACATCGGATGAAAATGGTAAAACAAGAATTTTATTTAATCAGATATTTATTTTTTGTGTTTAAAGAAATGGCTGAATGGTTGGCGAATAATGCACCGATCTCAATTGGACTTAATGCAAATATGATGCAAGTAAGTCATTTGTTTTTCTTCGAGAGATTTGCTTTTTTTAAATATATTGTTTTTAATTACAAGTTTTACTTTCGTGGTGTTGCTCATCCTCATCGTATTTTCTGTAATCCACAAGGACTTAATCATGGTGTTTTACTTGTTGGTTATGGCACTGAAATAAAAAGTAGATATTTATTTTTCTCTTTTTCTTTTTCTTTTTGAACTATAATCTTATTGATGAATCTAGGTTCAAAATCAATTCCATATTGGATTATAAAGAATAGTTGGGGTACACATTGGGGTGAAAAGGTAATTGAAAATGATTGAATAATTTTAAAATAAAGTAGAAAATTTTCATCCAGGGTTATTATCGTTTATATCGTGGTGATGGATCATGTGGAGTTAATTTAATGTGCTCATCAGCAATTGTTAATTAAACTTAGAAAAACATTCCTCTTCGTTTAATTTCATGATTTGAATTTATTTTGTTTAATTATAAATATTCATTTTTCTCTTCTTATAATAAATCTCGCTCATTTTCTTTATTTATTACATATTTTTGATCTGTTACCTGAAAAAACAAAGAAATCCATCATTAGAATCAAATTATTTTATCTCTATATCTTTTAAACCATTTCTAGTTTTTGATAGTACATATCGTTTGTATAAAAAATAGATCAGAAATTATTCTCTCCATTTTATTCGATTATGGAAATCCTGGCCTTGTCTCATATAAGTAATCATTTTTAATATTTTCAATTTTTATCAAAATTCCTTTTCACTGATAGCCATTAGATAGCTCTTTATAGTGAAAAACAAGTGATTAGAAGAAAGTTTTTCAGTAGAACTTTGTTACTCTGTGTTTCATATCAAAAGTCAAGAAATTGTAGAAGAGATAGATCAAAAATATCTGAAAATATCTTCAATCGATTAACTACATACAATTCGATTATTCGTTGTATGATCTGTCTATTATCTTAAAATACATACAAATATTGTTGATCATTTATTCAAAGACACAAGCTTCATTCATACAGATATATATATTGAAATTTGAGTGAAACGGTCATACTCTGTTAGAATTCATTCGACATCAAGTGAATGTATAAATCATGAATAATATCAATTTAACCATTCATCCAAAACATGGGATTGCTGTAACTTTTTTTACATTATTTGTTTTTGTTTTTATGAAAAGAATTTATCGTAGAAGTCGTGTATTTGTTCTCTAGTCATAATATTCCTAGTTGAACAAGTAAAGGACAAATGACATTTTTCCAGTATAGAAATATTTCTAAATTGTCAAATGTCAATAGTTAATCCATCGCCTGAGAGTGTCAGTAAAAGTAAAAACCTCAGAAAGTTGATAAATTTTAAAGAATGATGAACAGCAACTTGACATATTCTTTTTTAAATCCACGTCATATCATTTGTAACAGGCAATGCCACAAGAAAGATTGAAATATAATAATCTTCAAAAACTACGCTTTATATTTGATTATTTTATGATATTATATCGAATATTTCATATTTAGTTGAGATTGAAAGAAATCAGCTGGAAAGCTATACTTATTATGACATGGTCTTATTAGACTTTAGAAACAAAAAAATTGGCATCAGATTTAATAACAAATTGAAAAAAGCCCTCTTCCTGCATTGATCAATAAAATAACTATTCATGATTTAGTAAATTCTTGATAATTAATCTTATACATAGAAGTTAGTAATATCAGAACAATATTTCCATTATCACATGTATGATTATAATACTTATTAGATCTGATATTTATCAACACTTTTGGTTCAGTTTAAATGTTAAAATTGTGAAATCCAAATATGTTGGTTTTCTTCAAATATCAACAAACAATTCCTTTTATTGTATCGAATCTTCTCGTTGTTGTTTTTATATTTATTATCATATTTTTATTTCTATGTTCAAGAAACTGACATATAATTATTCGGTTTTTCCTGTGTTTAGGTGGTCGAATTATACTTGAATTTAACATGATATGGTATGTTTTATTATGTTTGCATCCAACAGAAAAGTATGGTTAAAAAATGACATTTTCATTGATTACATAAATCATCTATATTAGGCTTAATTATCAGTATTTCGTCGAGAAATATAGTATGAGATATGATATTGTGTCATTATTGAACCCCCTTCTCTTGATATAAATAATGAATTTCCTTTTATTTAATAAAATAGAAGAACAAAAATATAAGTTTTAAACATATGAGTATGTTCTAAGATAACTATTGATAATTTGCATTTGTATTTGTAGGTCTTGTTTCGTCTATATGAATTCTTCCATTGAATCGTTGATTTGATGTAGAAATTTGTTGTAATGAAACAGCTCGTTGATTTGAAGGATAAGTAAATTTTGTTTGACAACAACAAAATAATTTTCGAAGAACTTTTAAAAAACTTTGTCGAAATTTTGAACAAAATATTGCATAAACAAGTGGATTTGATGCTGAACTAATTGTTACTAAAAGCATTGTAAAAGCAACAAAATAAGGTGTTTGAATAAAATGTGGAATAGTTTCAATCATATTTGTTTCAAATAAAGTAAAAACTAGAACTTGTGGACTAAACGAAATAAAATAAATAAGTACAACAATAAAAAGCATTTTTATAACATTTCGACGCGATTTCAATGCATTATAGGTAACTTTTGTTCGACGTATTGGACACGAGATTTGAAATGGTTGACGAATCAATGGACAATTCGTTTGAAGACGGACTTTTGAAAGATAAATATTATTTGATTTTAATAAATTTTGAGAACGACGAATTGATAAACGAGATAATGAATCTGTTGTAGTATATTTTGTACTTGAATTATCATCATTATCTGTATAATAATCTTCATCATCAATATAATCCTTTAAACAAAATTGAAATTATATTGTCTAATCATCAAAATAAATAAATAGAATCAGAAAACCTTTGTTCGATGATTTGTCGATTTGCTAATCGTGCAATATGATGTTTGAAGTGTTTCATCAATATTAAATAATTGTCGAGCTATTCTTATATAACAATAGATTTGCAATAAAAGTGGAAAAAAATAAAATACGATTGATTCAAATGATTTATGAATTATATAAGTATGTTTATCTTTTGAAATATTCTCTGCATTATATTGAAGACGACATGAACGACGAGAGGATTCAGCATATATTGATACATGTAAATAAATTAAATTAGGTGATGCACACAATAATGAGAATAGCCAAACAAAGATTGTTATTATAAGAACATGTTTTTCTTCACGTAAAAATTTTGAACGAAGTGGATAAACAATACCAATAAATCTAAATAGAATTAAATATCTTGTTTGCAAATAGACAACAACAAAAAGAAAGAATTAAAACCTTTCAATAGTTAATGCACACATATTAAGCACAGATGCATATTGTGCAAGAACAAGTGTTGTTCGAATAAATTTACAAGAGAACTGACTGAGAACCCAATTTCCATTATTTGATAAAACAAATTGTATTATATCGGGTATATTAAATAGAAGTATAATAAAATCACAAGAAGCAACACGAACAATGAGTTGATTTGTTAATGATCGTCTCATTCGAGCATCAAATTCAACGGATATAATCACTAAAAGATTACCCAATATACCAACTATTGCAATGATAATAAATAAAAATGTTAATATATGATTAACATTAATATTCATTGATGGCGAAAATGCATTCGTTTCACTTTTATTCATATTTCCATTCAAATTCTGATTATCTATAAAAGGAAAATAGAACCATAGATAAATAAAGATAATTAGAAACAGGCCTTCTTATTTTTCTATCTCGTTTTGGGATTACAATAGCCAAAAGCGACAGTGCGCGTTTCCTTTTATCAATATATCCAAACATTAAAAATAAAAAAATTGTCTATCTTCATTCTAACAGATATACAACATTCTATAATTACATTCTGTTTAATAGACTTAGTCAACGTATATTTAATTTAAAATATAAAAGAATTGCTACTAAAATTATTTTCTTAAAAAATTAGAATGAAAAAAAAGATTTTAGAACTGAGTGAATGGTTAGAACAATAGAAAAATCAATGAACTAATTATTTTTATAATGAAGAAATAAATATAAATTTCCATAAAATAGTTTCCTATTTTCTTTTACTTCTTCTATATGAAAAAAGAGAGCATTCAAACTGACTATATACAACTATTGATAACTGTATATCCATCAATTATATAAATAATTATTCTATTTATATTCTTATTAATGCTATTGAAAATAAATCTAATGTGTAATATCTAATATTAATCGGTAATTTCTAAAAAAGAAAAGTGAAGACTTTTCTATATATTGAAGTTACTTTGATCTACTAGAATAATTAGTGAGAAGCAGATCATCTTTTGTTATGATAGTTCTACTTCCTACTATCAATCATCTGTTCCATATTTACCTTTTTTTCCGCACTATCCTGTTATTTGTAGCCAAAATAATCATCGAAACTATTCTTTAAGTCACGAATAGAAAAATATTACCAGCTGTAAATCAGAGTTATTTTGATTTTGACAGATAAAAGAAAATAAGATAAATCAACTTAACAACTATATAAAGATGAAAATTTAATCATATTTGAATAAAAAATAAAAGGAGAGGAATGTGTTAATTATTGAGTTGATAATATTAAACGAGTGGAAACATTTGTAAAGAAGTCTTCTTTTTGTGGAACATTTATCAGTTATCGTTCTCTGGAGAGATTCATATCAAATAACTACAATAACCTTTTGTCTCGACGTATTTACTGAATGTCTCAATCATGATTATGTCTCTTTAGTCATTTTATTAATCACAAATGTCATTTTTCTGTTATTGAGTCTAACAGAAATTACATAGTAGACAATGTCAACATATACTTTTACTTTATATAAGACACTCGACTGGACCACAACAATTCTTTCATAATGATTTCTAACATAAGAAAATGAGCAGATGAATGTATTATTTAATATCTGTTTCGAGAAATAATTCGAATGGACATTTGTTACTTACATGAAAATACATCTAATTACTATTTTTTCATTATTGGTTGGCGTATTGTTAAATATTAGATTTGACATATTTACTTGTCAGACATAACAATGAGTCTTTCATTAAATATTAAACAGAATCTAGTTCATTAACTTCTTTTTACTACGCACAACTAAAAACATATATATTTTAGAACGATTTTTTTCTAGAGAGAACATAAAAAATAGCTAAATAAATCTTCGCTGTAGTATCATTGAGAAGAAAATATTAAGGAACTTTCTTTTTAATATCTAGCAGAAAAGTATGAATAGATTGAATATCAATGAGAATTGCTTAAGACGAAATAAATTCATAAGATTGAAAAAAAAACGAAGCTATAATTTTCCTTCTATGGTATATATTTATTCGTTTAAATAAAGAAAAAATAATAGTTAAAAAGAACCGACTCATTTTTTTAATATTTCCATGCAAATGTTATTGATTATCTACTTTCTTATTTTCTGTGGGTATGAACAAAATAAATAAGTTTAATAGAAAAAGAAGAATTACCTTATCGTACCTAAACTATTATTTCTAACAATAATAAAAAGTAATACCTTTTTTTCTAGCTATTATAAATCAGTTGTTGTATTATTTTCTAAGATTGATGTTTTCTTCATCTAGCAAAAAATCATGGAAAGGAAACATTACATCAGTCTCTTAATAGTGGATACAGAAAATATTATTTTCTGCAAATAAAACAAAAACAAAACAGTCACTAACAAGACAAGTATTTTTGAATTGAAGTATTAGTAGATCTGATCGAATATTATCATTCAGTTTGTCAAAATCAAAAATATAAAACCAATTATAACCGTAAATCGAAAAGAGACACCAAATAAGAACAGTTCTAGCTGATAGGCAAATAGAATTTTTATTCTTACTCATTCATTCAAGCAAGTATTTTCTTCAGGAAACAAAACAAAAAAAGGCGCTTGTCCTCAATAGTTCAACCAAACGGAAGTTTGCCGTTAATTATTGCCAAACATAATTTTTGACGTCGTCGTTGTTGTTGTTGTTGTTGTTGTCATTTGTCAAATATCTATGATGATAGATTAACTTCAAATGGAACTAATCAGATTAAGTATATGATCTGATATCGATTAACTAGTAAAAGAAACCCGATGCATTTTTTTCCTTGCTTCTTGTAGATTCTTGTGAAAGATTGAATTAGAAAAATATAATTTAACAAGAAAAGTCCTATAGAACTACCTTTTACTTCTTAAAATGTAATTAATAAAAATAATCAAACATGAAAATATCAATTGATTTCTGTCTATTCCTCTTAAGCAATGAATTGAACTATTAAAATTCTCCTTATTTTAATTTAATATCATGTTGAATGAACTAGCATACATTTTTTAGCCGATAAAATTTCAGTACTTGAACCTGATATCTATGTATTAAACAGATAATTCCAAATCAAAACAAAATAGTTCATTGATAAGACTTTGCAAAAAGTTTATCAAATTATTTATACGATTTAAAATTCTTAATATTTAATCAATTAAGTTATGATAATGTCTCAAAGATTTTTCGATTGTACTGTAATATTTTTCTAAATATTTACAATCAATATATACAAAATGATGCGTTTTTTCAATAAACAGTTTTAATGTTTGAATAAAATATAAACATATTTAATTCATGCTTTGTCCATAGAAAAACATTCAGTCTACAATAATTAAACTCGAAAAGTTTTCAAAATCATCATCATCATCATGTGATGAACTTGTTATTTTTATTAATGTCCAGAAAATTCTATAGAGAATTTGTTTTCTAATTGTTTTGACTGAAATATCGATAATCCACCATTAAATCTTTTGAAATACTATTTTCAGTGCATTTATTCTATTTGAAATGTCATTTAATATCACCGGAATTATTTTTACACATGAATTTTTCATTGAGAAACAAAACAAAAATTTTACATACGAACAACGATGAAATTCTTTCGGTTTCATCCAAGGTATCTCGAATCAAGAAAAGTGAAAATTAAGATTGATTTCCGACTCTCATACAGTACTTATCAATAGAATGGAAAACAAATTCCATAAATACTTGTTAATGTGCTTGAAATATATTGTGTTTTTCTTGCTATCTTGAGTTCTGAGCTTTTGGTAGTAAATGAAAAAAAATGTTAATATCTATTGGACATCGCTTCAACTACTGTGAAATAAAACATTTTAAAATCTATTGAATAATAATATTTTCCAATGGTGAATATGGAATTTGATATAAGTCTATGTTAATGAATTGATTTAAAAAAATATCCTAGAAAAAATTGTTCAAAAATGGTCCCCTCCAATACATGTTCGATTATATTTTATGCTTTAGTTTTGAGTAATATTTTAAAAAGATCAATTTTTGTCTTACTCACAATCATATATTATTAATGAACAAGGGAGACAGAGATCTACGCATTTTAAACTATCTCAAATAATAGAAATAAAACATTCATCATTGTTTTTTGTAGGATGTGGATGTGGTTACGGGTGCTGGTACTCTTGCCATATGTTTCTACATCCACACTCACATCCTCAAGAACTATTGCTGCACTGTTTAAAGGCAAATAAATGATAATTGAAGATTTCTTGATCGTCACACGTCGATTGAATCTTTTCATGTTAAGCACAAATATATTCTTTGTTTTCATAACAATTTTATCTGTTACGAGAAAATATAATTCGAAAGATGGAATTTCTGGCATAATCAAAATCGAATAAATACGGTTAGCTATTAATTGCTTTTAAGATAATGTTAAAAACTGCTGATTTTGAAGGCAAAAACGCCAATCTATATTAAATTCTTTTCTTTAAAGCTTTAGAGAACTGATTCATATTTTCTCAAAAGATGAAAGTTTTCCCCCATAGTATAGTTAAAAGCGAAAGAAAACATTTACTATCAACGGTGAAGCTCACCGATATGACTCAATCTTTCTTGAAAATGATGTGTTCTCAATATTACTTTTCGGTATGTTAATTAATCACCAAGAAACGATAGGCAAATATGATTCACCAACAATCTGCACCACCCATGAATATGTTGATCATCTGTTAAACCACCAGTCAGTGTTTTAATCTCGCTTTCACTCTCAAGTAACCCTTTTCAGTTTATCCCAATCGATATGTAGACCTACAAATGAATTATTTTTTCTTTCGATATCTCATATAAAAAGAAACGCAAAGCCAGAAACATTTAATTAATTAAAATATTTTCTCACTACTCTTCTTGATATTTCAATTCGATAAACAGACATATCTATTGTTGTGCGATACGATAAGTTGACCAGTTGCACTAAATAGTAGAATCTAATATTTTTTGAAATATCTTTTAGTTGAATATCTCTATCAGATGAAATCTTGAATGACATCGTGATATTTCTTATGAGTAGTGGAAGTGAAATCTTACGTCTGAAAGGGTCTGAAATAGCTATAAAACGCCTACAATTTCTAATATTATCTTCACAATTTTTCGAACTGAGGGAGAATCACGCCATTTTATCTGCGGGCCCAGGTTAAATTACTTGTCTGCGATGAGACTTTGTCTCTGCATAAATCCCACCGAAATTTTTGATTCTAATGCTAAAAGCTAGGGAATTTCGAACAGATTAAATTGACATATTCATTTCTAGAATTAGCTCTACTATCTTGAAATCAGCCTGCAAACTATATTC